GAAATTCAGAATGCCCGATCTCCTGAAGTACAACGGAACCTCGGACCCCAACGAGCACATCACTGCCTACGCTTCTGCTGTAAAGGGAAATGACCTGAAGGACGACGAGATTGAATCTGTCCTGTTGAAAAAATTCGGAGAAACACTTTCAAAAGGGGCCATGATGTGGTATCACAACCTATCCCTGAATTCGATAGACTCATTTGCCATACTGGCAGATTCTTTTATAAAGGCACATGCCGGGGCCATCAAGGTTGCCACAAGGAAATCCGATGTCTTCAAAATTAAACAGAGAGAAAACGAGATGCTATGGGAGTTTGTATCTCGCTTTCAAATAGAGCGAATGGAATTACCACCAGTCTCCGATGACTGGGCAGTGCAGGCCTTCACCTAAGGCTTGAGCGAACGAAGCTCGATAGCTTCGAAGCAGCTAATGCAGAACTAGGTTGAATATCTCGTTGTGACTTGAGCGGATGTCCACAACCGGTATCATTCAAAGATTAGGGTCGAGGATGACCAACTAGGAGCCCCCTCGGGCTCAGCATATCCTAGCAGGCTCCTGGCAAAGGACCATTACGCGTCCTCGAAGCCAGCAGTCGAAGGATATCGAGGCTCGAAGCGCCATCACTACTAAGGTATAACCGTCTCCCTTTTTATTTATGTCTTACACTAACCTGTGTGCAGGTGTCCGGTTAGAAAAATCGAAGCACCTTCCAGCTTGAAGACCTTAGGTTTTAAAGCATGCGTTGCACTCTTTTCCTTCGGTCGGATTTTATCCCAAGAAGGGTTTTACCGGCAAGGTTTTTAATGAGGCAACATCTATATGCTACCTAAGGAGAACTTAACAAATATTCAAGACTTCTCTTCAATCAACCTCGAATACTGGGGGGCATTCCCCCGGGAGATCACCTCCCTGGAGAAATCAAAATGAGTCAAAGAGGGTCTCGATAGAAAAATGATGTATCGGGCCAAACGGTCAAATGAACCGTGTCCGCATAGAATAATCGAACCCTCGAGGACGAAAACATGTATAATTGTACCAAGTAATCGAAGGAGTATCTTCTGCCATCAAAACGCCTTGCGCTTCAGAGAGGTTTGCTATTTTTACAAGAAACGGCCCCAGGGCCAGAAATTTCTGGAACACTCGGGGACTGACATCAAAAACTCGAAGCCGTAAGACCTCCGGGCCGGAAACTTTGAGCTCATAAGCCCTCAATGAGGCAACATCAAAGTTTACAAAGAACGGCTCCAGAGACAAAAACTCTCGACGGCTCGTGGACCGTCGACGACTGTTACCCTATCGAGCTATCAAAAACTCGAGGCCATAAGACCCCAAGCGGGCAACCTCGAGCCCGAAAGCCCTCCATAAGGAAATACCAAATCTGTAAGACCTCAAGCAAGGCATGAATTATGCTTGTACCAAGCGACCTATCTGTAAGACATCAAGCAAGGCATGAATTATGCTTGCACCAAGCAACCTATCTGTAAGACCTCAAGCAAGGCATAAATTATGCTTGTACCAAGCAACCTATCTGTAAGACTTCAAGGCCACGCATGAATCATACTTGTACCAAGTAACCTATCTGTAAGACCTCAAGTAAGTCATGTTCAAATTTATAAGACCTTACAAAAGGCATAATCCTGATCTTAAAGTTAAGGCTATATATTCGAACTTGTAAGACCCCTAAAAAGGCGTACCCTCGATATAGACGCCGAAGCTACTTCACTCGGGGACTAAAAGGCTACGGCCAAATACAATGACTACGGTCACAAGGCTGTACCAGCCAAACTAACGCGACTCGGGGACGCCTGACCATCGCCATAAATCACAGGCCTTCAATTACATCAAAAATACATTGAAAAGAATCGGTTAACTAGGCTACCCTCGGCATAAGCAAAAGAGCTTCGATCACATCAGCTCCAAACAATAAAAAGGCTTTGAATAATTCAGCCACCGAGAGAAACCTCCCGAGGTGCTCGTCTATCATCACATAACGGCTCGCAATCGAGGTTCTTATCGAACCGTCGAAGAGTCGGACGAACACCAAAACTTCAAAGAGGGAAAATAAAGCCTATACTAGAGGTCGTACCGACCCAATGCGTAAGAGCCACTGTCGCCAGCTTAAATCAAAAGGTCCTACCGACCGAATGCTTAAGATCCACTATCGCCAGCTTAAATTAATGGTCGTACCGACCCAACGCGTAAGAGCCTAAGCACCAACCTTTATTAAAGGTCGTACCTACCTGACGCGCAAGAGCCTAAGAGCCAGCTCAAAATTCAAAGGCTTAACAAGCCTCAGGGCCGATTTGTAAACCTAAGGGTTTTTCCTCGAAGTCCAATTCATCTGGCTAGTCATTGATTAGCGTCAAAATTCAAAACAAAAGAAAGGCATACACAGGCAACGGGAAATTCATGAAGGGGGAAAACCGAAAGGCTTCTTTTTATATGTATATGTGAAATAATACAAGGCTTCATTTACAATGTTCTCTAAAAGCATAGTACGCAGAATCAGGAAGGAAAAGCCTAGTCTACTCTCCCCTTGGGGACTACGGCTCCATCAGCCTCTTCCTCATTATCCTCGGCATCAGATACGAGGAACTTGGCGTTGTGTTCATCCGCCTTAGCCTGCTCTATCTCTTCCGAGAGATCGAAGCCCCTAGCGTGGATCTCCTCGAGGGTTTCCCTCCGAGATCTACACCGGGCATATTTGCTTCTGCTCTCCCAATCGAAAGCCCCTCTCAACTCAGCTCGAGCATCGGTCACTTTCTTATCAGCCTTAGCTCGAATCTCTTCAGCATCAGCCCGGGCATCCACGACCTTGGCCTTCATCTTCAAAAGGTCAGACTCGAGCCTTACAATCCTGCTCGTCTGGAACGAGCTGTTTTCACGAGCATTCCGGAGTTGCACCTCGAGGGCAGAAGCCTTGGCCGAAGAATTCTTCTTGGCCGCAACTTGGGCGTCTATCTGAGCTCTTAGCTCATTACACTCATACTTGGCCTGACCAACTTTGCCCCAATGGCATTCTAGGTCCTCCGTCTTACTCTGCAACTGAAGTATTGACATATTAATCTCCAAGGATAGAAGAAGAAACATGCATCCCCTCAAAACAATGGTTACCCATCCCTCGAGGCGGCCTTCGTAGTTCAGGCTTCGATTTCATCTTGTACCAAAGGCGTATCAACTCCTTTGCCCTTTTATCACAAAGAAGTCTGAGGGATTTCTTCCCGTCCAAGGCTTTCTGCAACCTGGCTTCACGGCGGAGCAGCTCGGACTTGAGCTCGTCAAAGGCCTATGAAAAAGAAGCTCAATGAGAAAATGAAAATGCAAAACCAAGAAACCAACAAAGTCAACCAAAATTCACCACAGAATAGAGCCGCCGAGACTTCTCAAAGGTTGAGCGTACATCACTGGCCTGGTCTCATCGGCCCCAGTCGAACCGCTCTCGGTGGGGGTTTGATCGCTCGAGACCCCGCTTGGTTTAGGCGGCCCCTAGCGCCGAACATCCCTCGAAGTACCTTCGGCGGGAGAAGAAGACGGCGGCAGAAAATCTGTATCCCTCGAAGTACCTTCGACGGGAGAAGAAGACAGCGGCAGAAAATCTGTACCCCTCGAAGTACCTTCGACGGGAGAAGAAGATAGCGAAGAAAGATCCTTGTCCCTCGAAGTACCTTCGGCCAGGGAAGAAGACAATGCAAAAGAGGAGCCACTCCCCCGAGGCTGGAAGCCTCGGGTATTGCAGGCTCAGCTGCCCCGAGAGGTATCTCGGCTCGAGCCATCGATGTGCGACCGCTCTCTTCCGTTGCATCTCCTCAACGGTTGCATCTCCTTTTCGCCTCCGGGCAGACTCTGCCTCCAGTATGAACAAAAATGACAAAAGCACAAGTGTACCACTTAATCGTGCTAACAGCGACCTCTGCGCAGCCTTTGAGTCATGTCATTTAATGCTCTCACGGGTTGACATCGTGATGGAAGTATCGAAGAGTCAAGAATTCAAGACCGTTTCTTATCGTTTTCACTCTAAGAAACGCGGGGACTATCTGTATACGGCTAAAATCGGAGAGCCCGATTTTATGATCATTATGACATTCCAACAAGCCCGTCTCCAGAAGGCTCGAGGCACAACTCGAGGTTCGACCCCGAGGGTTCCCTATGCTCGATCTCGGGGCAGCACCAATCGGTAGCTATCATAGATAAGCGGGAAATTCCCTAGGCACGTGGTCAAAGCTAACAACGCCTGCAAGAATAGTATAGGTCTGTACCACATCATTAAATAGCTGTACCAACTACATCTCTTTGTAATAATTATACATGTACCATGTTGGGATTCCCCCTCCTATATAAAGGGGACTTTTATCATTTTGTAAGACACATGATATTCAATACAAGAACAAGAACATTCTCTGCTCTCTAACTTAAACATATTCTCCCTTGAGTTTATTGCTTATATTTATTACATTGCTTACATTTATTACGTTTCATTGATTGTTCCTTATTTGTGACTCATCATTAATCATAAAGAGCTCTCATCAAAGCTCTTAGAACTGTTAGTCCTTCATCGGCTATCCACAGCCTAACGCTTTAGCTCGACCTCGAGGCCCCGATTCTCGGCTACTCGGTTTGCATAACGTTCTGTCTTCAAGCTTTTACCTTATTTTTTTGGTCTCACACTTAGCATCTATTGCCTAACAACTAGCATAAAAATAAATCATGTATTTTTAGAACCACAAAATCAAATCTAATTGTAATTACCATTTTTAAGGTAAACAGATTTTTTTTTTAAAAAAAACCTTTTATTACACGAACGAAAACGCTAACGAGGCTGCAATATTTAGCATGGGAGGCTTTTCATTCTCTCTTTTATGTAGTACGTAATTTATTAATTGCACGTTATGGCCTCCCATTACTGTTTGACTGAGATTAATTTATAATGTCCTGAGAATCTCACAAAACTCCAAATTTCATAACTGTGCAAGGATTAAAATTGTGAAACCCCAAAAAGGGAGGAAAAAGAACAGAAAATATATCCTGAATCGACCATTCAAATTTCAATCTTTCAACTCTTAAGTAGTATGAAGTTTCTTGAACTGATTCTTTTGCCTAGCTATGACACTATACAAAATTTCATTCTTTTATGCTAAATACTAGTTCTAGTATACTAGAACCTTTTTATCAGCTGAACAGAGAAAAGAGATGGAAGATATTCTACTTCTCATAACCTCCAAGATTTCAGAAGCAGAGGGTCTGAGACTGGAACAATCACTTAAGCACAATGCTGCAAGCGACGCCATGGCCTTAGCTTCCTCCAATTCATAATCCCCGTTAAGGCTTGGATCCACCATTTCAGCTACTTTAGAGACATTGTTTAGAATAGGAGCAGCTTTTGATATTAGTCTCTCCCCAGTGTCTGAGGAAAAGGCTTCAACCCCGGAAATGAGTTCTAAAGTAACAGCTCCAAAGCTATATATGTCATTTTTCTTGGAGGCAATCCCAGTTCTCAAGTAGTGAGGATCAGTATAGCCTGGAGAACCAAGCATCATACGGTTCGTTGGTGGCAAAACTGAAGAAGAAAATCCCATCTTCGCTGACCCAAAATCACAAAGCTTGCAGTTGAATTGCTTATCTAACAATATATTTGAAGCTTTGATATCACTATGGACTATTTGTAATGGACATTTATCATGGAGATATTCAATGGCTTGAGCAAGTTGAAATGCCACTGTCATACGGTTTCTCCATGGAATAATTGTGTCTCTCTTCCCGTGGAGTTTGTCCTGTAAAGTCCCATTTGGAACATATTCAAATACCAACATGTTCCCCAATTCTGCGTCGTCACAGTGATCAAGAAGCTTGACTATGTTATCATGTTGGATTTGAAGCAAAATGTCTAATTCTTGCTTGTAAATTCTGTTGAGACGCTCGCTGCTGCTGTCCATGATCTTGACAGCTCCTAGAGTTGAATTAGGAAATTCAGCTAAATAGACAGTGCTAAATCCTCCACAGGCAATTAACTTAGACGTAGAGAAATTCATGGTGAATTTCTTCAATTCGCAGCTTGTATATCTCGTCACCTGACCTTTAATCGTTGTGCAATCCAACTCATCATCTTTATCGTCTTCCACAAAAACACGGGCATCAGCTACTCCACCGCGCCTTATTAGCTTATATCCAAAGCACCTAAGGAAAGCCATAAGTAACGGACAGGAAAATTAGTAACAACAAACACAAGTCGTGCTGGTTGCAGAGGCAGAATCAGGATTTAAACTTGGTTCAAGGTTTCGAGTTTCTTGAAAAATATACTCCTACTTTTTCAGGATTTTTCAAACATATATTTATGGTCTATGCTGAAAATCTGCCTCGGCTGGTTGCTATGGCAACTCTGTGGTGATGAATGACTAAGTTGTAGTGTTTTTGTTTAGGAAAGTTTTTGTGAATGAATGCTATCCATTGCCATTCGTGTGGGATATATAAAAGGGGCAGTGACGGTGGAGTGGCTAACAGCTTCAGTGCCAATGGTTGGTAGAAGAGAAGTATATTAGACTCTGAAGCTACGGGGAAGGAGGTGAAAGAAGAGAACAGACCCACACAAAACATATTAAAAACCTAACCAAGAAGAGCACCAACTACAGACAAACAGACCAATTTCTATTCCCATACCCGTGTGACTATTAAACCTAGTTCTTCTCTTTTGGCTCTTTATATTACTCTTATTACTCGCTCCATTCACTTTTACTTGCCACGTTTTAATTTTTTACGCCCCTTAAAAAATAATAAATAAAGTATATAATTTACCATGATATTCTTATTAATTATTGCATATTTTATTGGAATTGAGAAAATGATTTGAAATGAGTAATAAATACTATGGATATAACAAGAAGTTTTTTTTTTGTGTCTTCTCTTGATATGCGTATGCCGTAGAGTGATAATTAAAAATGAAAATTTATGTTTAGTATACCTGCCAAATAAAAGTGAAAGGAGGGAGTATTACTGTTGGAGGTTGAGGCTTCCATGAGAGTGCATAGTGCTTACCCAAAACAAAAGATCTATCTAATTAAGGATTAAAAAAAAAAATGCATGTACTCCTAAAATAGGGTACTACCATTAAATGATTAAAATTCATAGTAGTAGGAAATGAGTAGTTTAAAAAACTGTGTCAAGTTTATATTCATGAATGGGCGCATATGGAAAAGCAAAAGTCATACTCCCTTTGTTTCCTTCAATACGATGGATTGACTAAACAGGAATCATAAAATGTTAGTTTGACACAAAATTCAAAATAATATTTTGATTGAACACAAAATATATGAAACAATAGGCTGATACACATGAAAATATCATAATTATTTTGTACCAAGCCGTTTGATTTTTATCCAGCGAGACCTACAATAAGTATGCATGTGTAAAAAGTTTCTAATTTACATGTTTTTAGAAAGCGACTAATTTTGTTTTGAACGGATTAGAGAACGTCGATGTCAAACGAATTGATACAAAGGGAATCATATATTAGTGATAGAGAAAGCAAAATATTAAATGACAATATAGTTAAAAAGTACTTGTGATTTAAAACATCAAACCAGAACTCAAAGTAATAGTAGCTTTAATAATTTGAATTTGCGAAGGTTCATGTTCAAAAAACGAGAAAATGTTTATTTAAGGCTATCATACAATGAATTTTTTTTTTTAACAAGAATATTTTTTTTTTTGATATTTAAAAATAATTTAACTTAATAAGTTTATTTCACTCTTAATAAGATGATTTAACCATACAAATTTCTAAGACTTATTTTAAATCAAAAATTTGTAAAAAAATTATTTTCTTAAACTTCACTAAGTCAAACGCTACCATATAAATTGGGACGAAGAGAACGGTAGTTAGTACATAATTTTCTGGATAAGTAATTGCACTTAATAAATTGATATACGTCATGAAAGCAGAGATGTAGAAGATGAGAAGCTTCTTGTGGTCAACTCAGTCTTCCTCTCTTTGATCTTGCGTATGCGCAGGGGGACCTCTTATATTTCCCCGCGTGTGTATGGGCATCAGGTTCATAGTATTTACATTGATTTCTAGCTAGATTTGTTTTAAATTTGTTTGGTGCAAATAAAAAATGTTTTCTTCAATTTAAATATTTCTCTTTCTGATAGTTTATTTTCTAATTTTCATCATTGAGGCACCAACCAAATCAAAAAGCGCCTCAGCGAATTTCTGACAAGCAATATCGCACGATATGGGGATGTTGGATTAGGTGTTGTAGAAGCAAGGAAAATCATACATTGAATTCATTGCCCTTTTTTTCTTTCTCCTCTTTTTGTTCTTTTCTGTTTTTTTTTTTTTTTTTTTTTTTTTTT